AAACTAATTAACATGTCATGTGTCGGATTTCCTCATTCTGAAGCTATGATTTTCTCTTATCTTCTCTGGGACCTCTAGGTATAACCCTCATATACATGTTTGCTTTATTCATTTTATCCACGTGGTTAATCTTTTGAGGCTCTCATTAGTTTATGAGGCTGGTGAATAATGTTTACGAAATATTGTAGGTTCTCCCTCCAGTTCCTCAAGTGAATGTTACCTTGCAACCACATCATCAGATGCAGCCTGTTGGAGTTGTTCTGTCGGTAAGCTCATAAAGACACAAGACAGAGCCTTAATTATCTTTGGAGTTAGTTAGCTGATTCATAGGCCTGTTCCATTATATATATATATGTATGTATGTATATAACTATATGTATGTATATCTAACATATGTATATATATGTATAATTAATATATATATTGTTAGACTTTGATTTAATTTTTTAGCAATATAAATAGTTTTATGATTTTTCATGCAATATTACAGGTTATAGGTGTCCAAGTCATTGTAGAAGGGGTGGAGAAGCATAACCCTCTAAATGAGGGTTCTATCCTCTGGATAACTGAAAGCAGATCCCCTTTGGGGCTGATTGATGAAATCTTTGGACCTGTAAAAAACCCTTACTATGTGATACGATACAATTCAGAAAGTGTAATTCCTGCTGGTGTCTGTGTAGGTTCTCTAATCTCTTTCGTTCAAGAGTTTGCCAATCATGTGCTTAATGACAAGAATCTATATCAGAAAGGGTATGATGCATCTGGTGACAATGATGAAGAGTTATCAGATGAAGCGGAGTTTTCAGATGATGAGAAAGAAGCCGAGTACAAGAGAAAGCTAAAGATGGAAAAGAGGGGCATGAATGACCAGAAACCTGGTAACGGGAAAAACAATCGAAAGAAGGGTAAAAATACATGGAAAAATGATAGGCATTCAGTACCACAGGCTGGAGTTGGCCAGCCAATACCTAATCAAAACCAGCATCAGATTTCTGTTCCAGCATCCCTGGGTCATGGTATTCCTTCTTCCACGATTTTACAAGGCTTTGGAATCAGTTCAGTTCCACAATTTCCGACTGCTGGTTTCACATCTTCAAATGGAGTTTGGACCAATGAGATGCAATCTCAGCAATCGCAGAATGCTTTTTTCCCTAGTGGATTTCCAACCAATAGCATGCCATGGCCTTCCCAGAATTATCAGCAGCATCCATTTCAACCTATGATGAACTATACTGCCCTTCTGCAGCAGTATAATCCTAGTCAGCCATTACCTGGTGGGCAGCCTAATGTGTTTGCAGGGCCGGGCTACGGACCTTGGCCTGGGTTTATGGGGCAAAATGTTATAAACCAAATGGCTGGGATGGGTTTACCGGGCCAGCCAGCTCCCCCATCTGCAAGTGCCGGAGGAGTGGTGATTCCTCCCAATGGACCACATGGAGAACAGAACAATTTCCAAGCAGGTGGTTGTCCTACAGTCGGCATTGAAGCTCCCAAACAGTTTAATACGGGTGCAGGTGCATCTTTGAATAGTGGAAGGAAACCGTATCATAGAGGTGGTGGACGTTTTGCTGGTGGGAGAGGTCGCCGGCAAGCCAGATGAAATCATGTATTGTGTTCGTTTTTGAACTCTAGCAAAATGAATTAGCTTATGCTAGGTTGTGTCCCTTAGACTTAGATTGAGAGTTGTAGGAGCCATATGGGGGCTTCGATTTACTTCAGTGATTGTGGTGGGCACTCATCCCGCATTTGCTTTCTCCAACATTAATGCAGAAGAGGTTTCTTTCTTTTTTTTTTTTTTTTTTCACTTTGTTTTTGTGTGTCTTTTTCTCGTAGATTTCAGAAACAGTTGTGCTGTGGATAGAGAATTTATTTATAGTTGTAGATGGTCTTACCTCAGTACAAGTATTTTGACTGCAACATATAATAGACAAAGTTGATAATTGTAGTTGGCTATCTTTCCAGCGCCAGTAATATATTCAATTACTAATGATTTTTATCATTACAAATATAGGAATCGAAATTTTCATTTTAAGTGGTTGAGATAAACTGTGTAATTGACTGAATTGGTTGTGATGTTGAAATGCTGTACCAAATAAATTTAAGAAAAATAAAATGCTTCTGTTTAAGCAGAGTCGCTGATTATCTCGGTTTACACAGAAAAAATTTCCTTCAATGTGCTTTTTGAATTTATTTTCATGTTAATTATTGCTCTGATTTCTATAATTATGCATTGGAGTAAACGACTTGGAGTTTTCACCCTTAAATTAATAACGTTGTTTTTCTCTTAAAATAACTCATATATCTCAAATTTCTCTCAAATAACCTCCAGAGGATCCCAGCTAATCTAAGAATATAGCCTGATTCCGACACTGTTGGACCTCCTCGACACCACCATCAGCATCTCCTTATCCTTCTCACCAAAACCCCTAACTTTTCTACCCAATTGCACCTCGGTGAGGTGCCGAAATTTGGTTGGAAAGGGGCGAAAAAATGTGAAAACCTAAGGGAGAGGCGGCGACTATCAACGGGCAATTACAGTCGACGATGTTGGGGGTTTTGGTGGGGGGAAGCCAGTGATGCTATTGGTGGTCTTGGGGGTGGTTTTTGGTGTCGGGACTTGCCAAAATTTGGATGAAACATCGATTGACACTAAAAGCGATGACCGATTATTAGGGGGTTTAATCAAGCGAGGAGGTTAGGGGTTTTGATGTGGGGGTTGAGAGGATTGTAATGGTGGTGTCAGGAGGGGTCGATTGTGCTGGAAACAGGCCAAAATGGCCTAAAATCGCATGTGGGATGAATTTGAGAAGTGAAGGGGTATTTTGAAATTTTATAGTGGGGTGAATTTGAGAAGTGAAGGGTTATTTTGAAATTTTTATTTTTGAAATGACTATTTTACCCTTTTATTAAATAATTATCTGTTAATTTAAGGATAAAAATCTGTAATTTATGAAACCAGAGGTGAGACACCAAACCTTAGGTGGGAAAATGTTGTTTACTCTTATGCATCGTAGAAGAAAACTTTTGTTACGTGGCAGGGGATCTCATAACATTGGTCATTGAAATATATGGGTCTCGTGTATCATTTGACGATATGTTTTTAATTCTTATTTGATTTTTAATGTTCACAAAGGTAATTGTAAAACCGATCTCATTCCCCTCCAACCAACACGAACACTCCATATTCATTGGAAATTTACAAGTCATATTTTCTATACTGTTTTAAAAGCTAGGCTGGATCGGCTGGTCCAACCGGTTGGACCGTAAACCAGTCACGTGTCTGGTTCGAGTCAGCATAAAACCCACTATTGCGCAATAAACCGTTTTAACCCGTCATTGGACCGCGTGAACAGTGCTGGACCGCAAGAAAAACCGGCCCAATTTGAAAAATGAAAAAAACCCTAATTTCCCACTTTCTCCCTTTGCGTTGCGCAATTTCTTCTTCCTCAGTTCCTCTACGTGCAAAAAACTCTAAATTTTTTTGAATGAAATCACGAAAATTTGAAAAATATCACAAATCAAAACTCAATCTTGTTGAAATTGCAACCATCCCTCGCTGAAATCACAACCATTCATTGCTGAAATCGATCGTAACTCCAGTCTTTGAAATCGCGACGACGCGTTCCTCCCTCGCTGGAAATCGACGCATGAAGGCTGATTGGCATGCATGTCTTGACAATCCAATTTGATTCAAGGTGAGTTGTAATCTTCAGGACCTTTGCTGTGAAATCTGAAATGTGTACTTTCTCTTTGTCCTTTTTTAATAGAGAGTAAGTTTGACTGTTTGAGCTACAATTTATTAACAGAATTCGCACCCCATTATCCGGGCAGTACTGGATATTTTATTGTACAATTTTTAAGCTACCGTTTGTTTGGTGTTGTTGCTGTTTGGGTGGAAGTGATGTATGGGAAGTATATATTACAATCTTGGTACTTTCAGATTACCCTTTCTGAATGATACGTTGCAGATAATGGATTGTTTGTGAAATTTGGTAACATTTTGCCATATGGATTCAATCATTTGAAGGTGTCTCTTCGGATGTCCTTCAAGCTCTGTGATTTCCAAACTTTTGAATTATTTTTGCCTTGGTTGTCATATAATTTTATTTGTATTAATAAGAGACATTTTCAGAACTAGAATTCAAGCCACTGTTTAACTTTTATATGCAAATAAAAAGATCTACTTTATGTTTATTTTATCATTTTTGCTTTTGTTTTGAAATAGTGTGAATCCAGATTTTGAAATTTTACTCATCCCTTTGATCATTTGGAAGCCATAAAGTAAATTATCCATGCTTTAGTGTAAAGAATTGGGGACAATGCACAATCTCAGTTTGTAGCCATTACACAACTTATTTACGTGGGTGTTATAAATGTTTTAATCTTATAGTTGTTGTAATACAAATAAAGTTTCAACAAGCCAGTTGTAATGGTTGGGAGGCCAACTTTTAATTACTCAACTTACTGGAAGAGGAATTCGAAATGTTAGGTTAGCACTTAACATATAACAGTATGATTTATAAAACTCTTTGAAGTGTTAGCTTTTTAGAAATGGTTAGGCTATAAAAGTTTGCCTTCATGATGTATGATGATATCATCGATCCAACTAGTTGGACCAATTGAACCGTGACTTGAGCAACAGAGCGAGTTACCATCCAGTCCGATTTTTAAAACAATGATTTTCTACAGCCAAGCAGAAACGAAACGGAGACGCGGTGGGTTTGTTTTATATTTATTTCCTTGCATTCTTTTGACAGCATCTTCTAAGGAATAATTAAAAAATGGTATCCGTAAATTTACGTTTTCATCAACAATCTTGCTTGCAGGTCAATTTAGCTTTCCCTTTAACCTCTAAAGTCTAAACACAGTTTATCAACCAAGGCTAAGACATAACACAAACAAATAAAAAAGGAACAATAGGAACACATGCAAAACATAAATGAAGATAATAAATTACTTGAAAGTTCTTGAACCAGTCAGTGAGAACAATGAATACTGAACCCAGAGACTGGAAAATTAAAGTCAAACATAAGGAAGGGAACAACCGAAGGCTTCTTTTAAATGTGGGGATGGGGCTTTCATGAAACAATAATTGGTCATAAATAACCCACCCAAAAAAGGAGGAATACCAGCCCTAAAAGGGGATTTGCTCAAGTTTTAGCATTCCTTGTAAAGTCGATGCAAGTCTGGCAGCTGCAGTCAGAGAAACGACATATGTCACAACCAAAGCAAACACAGGAAGTGCAACCCTTACAAGTTGGCGATCGAGTACATCCCCTGTACACTCTGCGACTTGCTCGTTCTTCTTCATCTTCACAAGTTATCCTGTAGAAACCAATCATCCAAAATTTTCATTTCTTAAAGTTTCAAACAAAAGCACCAAGTCAAAAACCACTTTATATTAGTATCAGGTAACCACAATTGTATCTGCACATATACAGACTCTGCATGCAAAATCACACATTCCCACTTACATTCCAATATGCGCTAACAAAGTCAAACTTTGTAGATCAATCAAGAGATCAAGTCATGATGATTTAAAACTACCAAGAAATCTTCATTGTTCAGAGATGCCTCATTAAAACATCATTTCAAGGCAAAAAATAAAAATAAAATAAAATAACTTTTACAGGTAACTCCTTAAAGTACTGGGTGCACTTGCTTCTTAGGACTATAGCAAATAATTTCGGCAGCCAGAATAAATCATTTTTCAAATCCTAACTTAAAGTATGCAAATTTTACGATTTCACAAAACCTACAATGATCAAACTTTAAGCATGGAATTCCTGGTCAACTAGTTACCACGAGAAAAATATTCATAGAAACAGAAGTCCCTAGTGGAAACTATAAATAATAAAAATAAAGTTCCAGAGAAAAATGGCAAGATTCAAAGACACATGAAAGGAAATGCACTGAAAAATTGAATGCAAGAAGAACAAGATTCACTCATGCAAATAAATATGAATAAGATTAAATTTCGTTTTTTTTTACAGATCAGTTGTTTTCTACGACATAACTAATAAAAAGCACCTATTTCTTGCTAAATACTAAAAACAAGATACCAGGTGAAGCTATCCCATGGATTATATCCAAAGGTCACTTTCTGTACTCCTCTAGAGAATACAATTACCAGTGTGCAATGATTTCCTGCAGCAAGGTCCCACTCAAGTTCAGGCAAAAAATAAAAGCATCCAAAACCTATTCAAAAGATCCACGTCAGTGAATTTTATTACCAAGGGATACAATATGGAAAACTGGTGACAAAACGTCTAAGGATAAAACCTCTACATCCATTAACCATATCTAAAAACATTGAAATTCTTGAATCACAATGTATGTCATCTCTCTCACAGCTATCATAATTTGCTCAAAACCCTGCATCTATTTTCAGAGCAGCTTCTTTCTGTTCTACTTACCAAGCATAGTCTATCAAAATCTTCATCAAAGGTCAATTTGAATGCTAAACAATATAATGAAAAAAACATGATCCATCCACATGTTTCTCTCTCACAATTTGCCTCGTTGCCTCGTTTATGCGGCAGCTTGTATTTACCAAACATAAATCAAAACTTCACAGCTGCTCATGCAGGTATATTAAATTAACTTATTATTTTTTATAATATATCCCATAAGTTCCTCCGTTATTAATTAAACTTTTCTCGACTAAAATAACCTTAAGCTAGCTACTGCAACAATCAGTGCAATAACACATCACTCCAATAAGCATAGCTGTTTTACATGTCCTCCAAAGGACATACTTCCTACTATTTTCTTGCAAAAAGTAAAAATCAGTCAAAGAAGCACAAACTGCACGTTGTAACAAAACTATTAAATAATTACTGAGTGACATCAACATGATTCAGGAACCCCTGTACATCCACAAATATCACTACTGCTGGCATGCCCTTTAAAGGATGATCAAGCTATTCTCATTTGTTTCCCGCATCAAATTTTGCCAAAGATGCACAAACACCACATATAAAGGAAAACATCTGATATTAGAGCATGTGTGTGAGTGATGACGAATGATTCAACAGTTTTAATAAACTGAACAAAAAATGACAATTTAATGGTTCATAATAGGAGTTTTTAACCTCATGTCTCTAACTATTAAGATCAAACAACTCAGTAGCAAAATGTGCCTGAATGGTAGAGAAACTCTGTTTTTCAATTACAGAAGACGATGAGATCCCAAAGTTATAGGATGATTCTAATACATCAGTCAATTATCTATTTAGTCTCCATTTATCCAACCAAGTTCTTCAACTATTGACAAATGGGTACTATCATCTAGTCAGTGCAAGTCAGAAATTTGACATACTATACAAGTTTTGATCGCATTTCATCTAGAAAGACATGACAATAAAAAGAAGGTAGCGTGCTACTTTACTCTTCACTCAGCAAATAAAAAATAGCATTCCAGGACAATATTAGTTAATAAATCTTATATGTAAAGTTTAGAAGCTAGGGTTTCCACAGATGATACATATAGGAGAATTTTGAAGTAATGATGAGTTCCCTCCAGTTCCAATGATATAACTAAATAAAAAAACTTGCAGCATGGACATCACCACCTTAAGTAAAGAATGCAAATGCCCAAAGTTCCCATAACACCATGTTGCTCAACTCAATTGAGCAAATATCACCTTTCAAATCAGTTAGGGAAAAAATCATGACCATTAAACAAAGTGAGGCTACAGGAAATGTTAGTTACCATGAAGCATGAAATGTATAGTTGACTGAACACTTCCCCTACTCCCCAAAACCCACACACAGCAAAAATATGAAAAAGAACACCATCATCCAATATTTTCTTTAATAAACATTTAATCAATGTATAGGTGAAACATACTTGTCATAGGGCAGATCAGCACACTTCCAGTTCTTATCCGCTAAAGCATTATGGTGAATCAGACATTCCTCTTTGGTCCGCAATCGAAACCTACGCTCCTTGTTACACCTAGTACAACGAACAAATTCATCACGATGACAAACTCGTCCATTATGGGATCTGTGGGATCCATTTCCACTTTTTGATGCTTGGTTGTAGTACTTGAGCAAGACTGTCTTTGACAATGAAACCTTCTCCCCATTAACTATGACCCAAACATTGTTCTTCCATTTTCTAGCTGTCTCTCTTCCAGAATGCTTCTCAAATGCAGCTGGAGTCAACTTGTCTGGTCAATGAAATCACCACCAAAACAGTTAATAATGCAAGAAATAATGCTTGACATTGACTAGGAAAGTGTGAAAAAATGGAAAACAAAAAGAAAGATATGGTCTGGATAAAAAGGATGAAACTAACCCAGAAAATGATATTTACTCATGCACTAAATACTAGAAAGCTCCCAGTAAGGAGCTAAGGCAGTAAAAAAAGAGGATAAGAGGTCAGTATCATATCAGTGCAACATATAGCATGACTAGAAGGAAACAACTCGTTTGTGGACGTTGTTGAAAAAGCTCACATTGAAGAAAACAAGGACCTTAACTAGATTATGCAGCCATTATACTTACTACATGTTATGAGCATCCACAAGTTGACCAACAGTACAAAGAAGAAAAATAATAAAACTAAGAGATTCAAAGCTCCACAGTGGGTCCAGAAGATGGTGGTTTCATTTTTGAAGTTTGGAGAAGTGGATAACTGCTCGCTCTCTCACTCTGACACAACTATTCCTCCTATAAACAGAATACATTCTCCCCTATCATATGGCTAAGTTTCCTAAGGATGGAGAAACTAATCAGAAAAACAGTTCGCCCTAGATGTTAAATATTAAGGTCAACACTCGACTTGAAAATATATGAGCTCATCAAACTGCACTCCCCAACATATGTTGAAAAGTTCTACTATCTCAAGATGCTCATCACACTGCACTCCCAAATAATGTTGAGAACTTCTATTATCTCAAGATTAAGTTCACTGATGTCTATATTAATTTTGAAGAAATTATTTGAAGACGGAAACCTGTTTCAATATCAGAACAGAAGCATATGATCGAAGTAAAGTATCATTGATTATAGTAGTCAGAAGAGGGTACATACATACAATGTACTTTGGTATTAAACAAACAGAAACACAAGCATAAGAAAAAAGCACATAAAACGCATCCATCAAGAATAAAACTTTCGACGTTTGATCGTTGTGACCAAGAGTTGGTCATGAGATGAAAACATAGTTCTCCTATAACTCTAAATTGTAACTGAGTTGACCTACCATACTTGGGCTGACATATCACGAAAACAAAACATAGTCAAACCCCATTTAGTAAAACAAAGCACACAACGCTGCATGATATGTTTGAACAAAAAACTTTACTCTGTCTACCCGGTAGAAGAGAACTCTGGCCTCAGAAAGGTCAAAATAGGACCTTCAAATCACAACAACAATGACAATGTAGGTTTCATTACGAAACTACGCGGTTAACACTAAGTTCTTGAATCAACAAAGAACCCAGGGTTTTTAACAATAAAAAACACATTCTATCGCGTGGTACGAAACGAAGGAGAGACGAGTCACTGAGACAAAACAACATACACTTAAACTGTATAACAATACAAAACCACCGAACAACTTACAGAACTCTCTCCATCGGATTAAACAACAAAAAGGCGACCACCCATCAACGTCAATACATACGCATTAAACATGCAAAAGAAAAATCGAAATCCATTTCCCTAAAAACACAAGAAAGAAAGAGAGAGTCCAGAGAGAGAGTGGAGAGAGAGACCTTCATTGCAACCTGGGGTGCATTCACAGGTGATTTCTAGGTCACCATTAGAGAAAACCCTAAGTCTGCCAACAGCGTCTCCATATCTATGGCTGGTACACCCACAAATAACTTCGATATAATCTCCACCTCTCTTAACCCCACTTACCTCTCTCAACTCCTCGTCGCTAAACATCATCAAGCCACTCTCTTTCTCCACCCCATTAGCCATTTTTTCACGCACAAACTCAATCTCTCTCCACTCTGTTAATAATGGACTTATTTATTGTATATATATAAAAAATAATAATAATGAGCAACACGGAAAAACCCACTCGACAAATCAAAGGAAAGAATCAAGATATGGGCAATGTTGAATAAAGATTGCTTTTTTGGGTATAAAAGGAAAAACCCAAAAAACAAAGAACCAAAATTAATGGTAAATAAGAAGACTTAAAAAACACGCATCTTATTAAGTTACTCCGAGAGATCTGGTGGAGAAAACGTTGAAAGAGTAATAGAAAGATAGAAAGAGAAAGTGAAATAAGTTTGTTGTTGGTGGTGTTGTTGTAGAGTTGTAGTTGTGTGTGCGTGTTGGAGTTTGATTGGAGAAGGAGAGAGAAAGAGGGGTTGGGTTTTGGTGCGAGGGAAGCGAAATGAGCTGGCCAAAGAGAGAAAGAAAGAAACAAATATGTCGTGGGGCGAAGGGAGTTAAAAGCTTTAAGGGGGCTAGTTGCATGATATGACATGAGAGACAACAACAACATGAATAAATAAAATAAAATAAAATAAAATCTCATTCATTAATAACACAGAGAGAAGAGAGCGGCTTTGGGGTCAGGACCTTGGGTTTGTGGGAAAATCCTCTCATGGGAACGAGACGAGGTTTATTGAAAACTGTTCTCTCCCTCATCTTTTCTCTTTTCTTTCCAGGTGGTTTCACTGTTTCTATGGTGGGTTTTACAATTTGTACTTTTTTACAAGTCAATTCTACGTTGTGTTAAACTACTCTACGGTGGGTAAAGCCACATGAAACAGAGACAATTGTAATAAGGTTGCGTCAAAAGACCTGAAAATAGCTTCATTTTGTGTAAGAACCGGCCAAAGATTAGCTACTCATCACTAATTTTTGATAAATCAATAAATAAACACCATCTTGCTCTATTTTTTTTTATCAAAAAAGCACTGCACCTTATCAACATTATTATTCAACAATTAATACAAAATTTATTGGTTGAGGAAGAAAGAATACGTAAAAAGCAAAGAGAGTATTATTGAGTAAGGAACTTTGAGGCATTATTGAAAAGCTATTGCTAGCTTTATACAAAAGTAGGCCTGATGAGATGATAGTTTTTATTAGGACAAACAACAATAATTTTTGTTCGGTCTGACACAAGACAATAATCAAATGATTATAACTGGACTGTACTTAAACATGTTCATTACATTTAATTACTTTGCTTCTGCTTTGTTGGGTGTCATGGTGGCTTTGGAACAAGATCTCATGGCCACCTTCAAACCCATCATAATATTCTTAAACTACCATAACAATATATAATTAACTAATGCATATCTCATTAAAGTTCAGTAGATTATATACTTTGATGCTTTGTAGTGCTAATATATATACAATGTTTGTATATGCTGGAAAGCATGCTACATATATTATATGCCCCTTTTCTTTAAAATATACACAGAGATAACAATGGCCTCTCTTTTTTGTGTATAAAATATATGAATCCCCAATGATTCAGAGTAATATTTATATATATATATGCATGGCATTGTTGATGCATTATGAGCAGAATAATCACGCATGAAAGTAAATCCCACGCGATCTCTATATTTTTGAGCTAGCACCACCACGTATTAGCTTTCAAAGGGACCTCTTCGAGGTGTACAGTTATGGAACTATTTGCGTGCGGCGCAAATTATTGCCAAGAATATTATCGAACCGTAATGTTCGATAGAGATCATGTCCATGCTTAATATATGGTAATAAAAGATTAGTTTTAATTCATCAACTATAGTGCATTCTCATCAATTTCAACCTTATCATCGATCCAATAAAACAATAGGGCTAGCTGCAATAACCATGCGGGTTGTGATGTTGCTGCTAGGACACAACTTGGTAGCTTGTTTATACCCTGCAAATCCATTTGGAGGCTATATATATTATATATTTCCCACAACACGGTACCATGTGGTGGCTAACTTGTCATTTTCTTTGGAGAATAGTCTGCCTATTGTGGTAATTTCAAACCAACTGAGCCATATAGCCGCAAACTAGTGTTGAAGTCAGAATATTATCCAATTTGAATTGGTCATGGTGTGATAGAATTGCAGTCATCACAGAACACTTTTTTTTTCCATGGAATTTGATGGATAAAATCCATTAAAACTTTGACTGGTGAATTTTACACACATTAGTAGGATATCGTCTCACTTTTTCCATCTTACTATGCTACGGCTCCACGCCATCAGACCTTTAAGATGTTTGGTACATAAAGTGATTGATTCAATTAACTGGCCAGAACATCTCTTATCATTCTAGTTGGAAAAGTCAATCAGGGATATCTTTTCTTTAATTATTGGGTATCTATATTGAATAGATGATGAGGCTAGAAATCTCATGAAAATTTTCTGTCGTTGAAATCTACAGTTGTTGGCCTTTGCAATTCTGTATATGAAACCGAATATTAATTTCTCCGGTAAAATACTGTGTAAAGAAGGGTGTTGATTATAATTAAATAAAATTGAATGGTGGAAAACTGATTGAAAATTTGAAAGTACTCTTTTTCTTTACCTTTTCATGTGCTGGCAATGTATCCAATGCGTAGCACTATTTAATATATATATATATATATGTAAGCTTAAAAGGACTGCATGCAGCATGCTTATGCATTTGTTTGTACCAGTGGGGGGCTGTAGGCTATATAGCTGTAGGGCTGTACTATAAGACCTGATTATTTGCTTTACCTCCTATTCTTTTTTTTTTTTTTTTTTTCCTATCAGAATTGTCAATTGTCAATGGAATAGCATGGGGGCCTCATGATTTTGTATAGTGCACGGTTATTTTTTTCAACAAAAAGTAGGAAATGATCAAGTTCAGTTGCTTCACTTTCTACAATACAATGACAAAGCAGGCCACGATTCTCTCAATCATTTGTTATAGGCTGGGTTGGCCTAACTTCTTCCCATTCACGTTTGAGGTGGGAATTTAATTTGTTTAAACCCATTCAACTATACTATAATATACTCCTCTCTCTATTATCCTACACTTACCCAATAACTGCAACATACAATACATATTAATTGAATAAGCTTATCCCTTTACATTTTTTATTGTTCCAAATGATGGTGATTACAGTGACTCATGCTTTATATATAAGAGGAAAAAATGGTGGGCATGTGGTATATAAGGATTTAGACACTCTCTTTTGACAAACCGATTTTTTAATGAGAGTTTTATCAAAACCTATAAAAGAATCAACTGTCTAACCCAAAACCTATCAAAGGTTCAGTGTTTAGCCCAATTCCTATTACTTTGAGAATAGGTTCCTATCAAACCCATTATAGCAATGTCAAAAAAAAAAAAAAAAAAAAGAAAAAAGAGTAATTTCTAATTAACTAATTAAGCCCTTTAATTTCGGCCTTCCATCGTCGTCAATGGGTTCTGGCGCATGGAAACGTGTCATTGGTAGACTTTGAGCTATGAAGTAGCCAAGCCGTGAGTTCACATTGGATTCTTAATTGAACCACATTGAATAATTCCAGCTTGTTATATAGTTGGTGGCCTGCCATGTTGAAATGGGTATAATATAACATAGTTGCAGTGCCAAAGACTTTGACATTGTATTGGTTACTTTACCAAGTATAATCTCGTTTGGTGGCCACCGACTCCACCATGTCTTAACTGTAATATTTTCCTTTGGTAGAATCCAATGATAAGCTCCAATGTTAAAAGCAGCTAGAAGAAGTGTCAAATACGCCACCCTAATTAGCCGCTAAAACTACAATAAATTAAGAACAGAAGCATGAATCAGAAATAGTAAGTCGACGGCAATAATTTGGCTCAGAATTAATAAAAAGCTAGCTCCAATAACAAGCTCAAAACATGCTCCTGCCTTAGTTGATAGCTAGCTACCACCCACCACCTCCCCTTTGAAAGAGACCGCCCTAGTAGTCCAAGAATAACTAGCTGCAGTCTTCCAACTGTTTAAGGTCAATTTGAAAAAAAATAGAACAAATGTTAGGCAAGTTTCAATGTCAAGATACTTTGCACCGGAGACAAAATTTGTTGCCTAAATTTAGAATTATAGATCACTGTTGAAACCCCATACACGCAACAATTGCAGGTTGATGATGGGAGTTCACCACAAAAACCAAACATACTTGATATTCTGTGTGCGCACTTGTCGAGGTAATAATATCATCACCTGCGGATCATAGTATTTCATGCACAAACATGTTTGTGTTAAAGTTATTAATATGTTGAATGATTGATCCTGCATTTCTTCAGCATGCAATAATTTCAAGTAAAATTAGACTTAAGGGGTTAGATTTAAAAAAAAAAAAATGAAGATAAATAGTGACACATTGCAACCCAACCTGATGGCCCAAAATAGGTTGGACTCAGAAAGCCCACAAGGAATAAGAGATTCAAATTTAAAATAAATATTTGGAATCTGTACAATCGAAGTCACTGTCACTGTTATTTTCAACTATTGTTTTAAGAGGCTAATTGCATCTGATAATAATAATATTAGAGTAGCTACGTAAGATGCCAACTACTCTTTTCTTTTTGTAACTATTATAATGTCACTCTACCACATGAAACATTTGATCGAACAACTTTATATCCTTCTCATTACCATTAGTGTTGGGCCTTAAGAACCAAAAGGCCCAAACAAACACTGAACACTAAAGCTAAAGCAAAGCAATCCATTTTCAAGTTTTAACTTTACCTATCTAAGTGATTGTCACGTTCAAATCAGATGGTCCACAAACTTCAGATTTCTTGGATATTGCCACGTGTGCAAAATCAATTAGTTGGTAGTCAGGCCCCACCGCAACTCATTCGTGGGCGCGGCGCAGAAAATACCGTAAATGCTTGTTATTGACGGTGTCTTGTACAAGAATAAATTATAAAATTTTAATGATAGAATTTTGCATTACAACAAGCGCGTGCTCGAAAGTCAAAGCTGTATATTCACGCTTTGTTTATTTAATTCACTATCAATATTAATTAATACAAACTAGTTGGATTTTTCAGAATAAACTAAAGAACAATAAATTTCAAGTTTGATTAATCATACAACTCTCGTTATTTTTTAACAACTGTAACCCACGCGCCATAACAAATTGCGTGAAACCCCTATTGATTTCTTATTTAATTATCTCTAAAGAAATAAATCCAGAGTTATTGCTCAAAATTAAAGCAAGCAAAATCTCAATGAAATTCTCTGTAACCATTATATATATTTCTTTATCTCCCCTCGGCCCTCGCTTTAGAACAAAATGAAGTCAAGTTAACCCTGCATTTAAAGTTGTGAAAGCGAGGCAAGGAGTTAACTTTCTCTTTCACTTGTTATTAGCTTATTATATCTTCATCCCATAAGTACTTGTTTTGTAAGCATTTCACTTTCTTCAACACTTTTTTTGGTCATTTTTCTGTTCAGAAACAGAGAGTAAGTCCCTCTTACAACTCTCTTGTTTTTAAAGTATCTGAAGCTTACACTCTTAAGTATTAATTTTACTTTCTATTTCTCCTTCAAACAACTTTCTGTAACTTAACTGCAACTAGATCTGGTTCAGTGTAGAGTTAAAGCCGCTTTCTACCTATTTGCATGCGAAATCTAATTCTGTTTATACGGTACAGACTTAACTTTAATCATATGTAAATACATATATCTTTCTTTGTTTGTCTTTGTCAATCAAGCCATTTTCGGTTCTTCTATTCCAGCTCTTGTCATTATTTGAAATCCAACAACTTTTTGCCTGGAATCCATGTTTTATTTTCACGAAACAAACTTGGTCTCTGCTTAAATGTTATTGGTGTGCTTGTAAAGGCGGCTTTGGTTATGTTGCAGACACTCTTTGCTTCCTTTTGTTTTGGCTTTTTGAAAAATTGGTGGGTTTTCAGCTAATTTTTGAATCATTGCAAGTTTTTGCTTTGCCCATGATGAGAAAACTATATAGGAAATTGGTATTGATGAAGAACCCTTTAATGGGTATGAGAAAAAATGGCAATTCTCACTCAGGGAGGATGTTTAGTGATAGAAAATGGATTGTTCCATTTTTTGCAAGCTTACTTGTTTCGATTACTTTATTTTTGGCTGCTACTTTCGGGCTGTTCAGCTCTTCTTATAGCGGAGATCAGTTGCCTTTTGATATCATTTCATTTGCAAAATCAGATGGTTCAAGTGGGTATTTTGTAGAATCCGATTTAAAGAAATCATTTGATCCAAATGGTGAATTGAAAACAGAACCACCTAGATTAGCTTATCTTATTTCGGGAACAAAGGGGGATAGTCATAGAATGATGAGGACTTTGCAAGCTGTTTATCATCCGAGAAATCAGTATATTTTGCATTTGGATCTTGAGGCTCCACCCCGTGAAAGATTGGAATTGACTCTTTCAGTGAAGAGCGACCCAATTTTTTTTGAAGTGGATAATGTACGTGTAATGGCGCAATCCAATTTGGTGACGTATAAGGGTCCTACGATGATTGCTTGCACACTCCAAGCAATTGCGATTCTGTTAAAGGAGAGTTTGGAATGGGACTGGTTTATAAACCTCAGTGCATCAGACTATCCTCTTGTGACACAAGATGGTAAGTATCAGAGTTTGCTTTGTTATTATTTATTTATTTTTACGAATGGACTTTGCTTTCATTTCAGTCCTTTTTGTGTAAATTACTGCTATTGTTGTAATGAAGATTCTCAGGTTTCACCGCATTTAGGAACCTAAATATAATTGTTGCTTGACTTTATGCTATTTCACTCATATATGATCCTAAAACTTTTTAGTTTTTTGTTCAACTTATCTTAATCTTTTGTGAAGGGCATCGTGATGTTAGATTGCGCTGGGTGTTCCCTCGGCTGAAATTAAGCGAATTGTTTCTGTTTCTCCTGGACATTTATAAGACTTAACTCATTATTGCAATTGTTTTTTGAGTGAGTATAGTGGTGCAAGCTTTGCATACAAGTAGAAGTGATATGTTGGTTAAGATCGATAGGTTGGAAGTTATTAAACTAACCTTTTCAGCTAAGTTGATGTAATTTTAAACAAGGTTGGACTGGGTTGCGATTTGTGGAGTAGTTTATTTATTAAATTGATATTGTGGTGATCTTTGGGGTTCAAAATCGGACCTTAGCTCGAGGTGATGATAATACTTTTCATGTTGTTTTCATTACCAGAGTGGATGTGGTGCTTGGGGCTTACTGGTCCTTTTTTTTGCTGTCTACTAATTCACTTTTCACTTCTTGAAAATCCTAAAGAGAACCATTTTATTACTGGAAAGCGTTCATATTATGTGGAAATCTTATTTGCAACCCTAAGTCGGACATTTGAGTTGCGCAGAGGCTCTTAAGAATGCTAGTACATGGTTAATTTTATGGTCTTGAACTGAGGAATAGCTCTATTTCATTTGGGCTAGGTCAACACTCTGCCTTCATTGCTTTCGGGATGTGTTTATCTAGGCCATAAATTGATGGAATGTTTGAAGACGAAAGTCATTCCAGTAACTCAGTTCTTGAATTGGATTGCAATGGGCAGTTTCCTTTCGGGTGTCAAAATTTTTTCCATAATCCTTTGTCAAAATTATTTATCTGTCATTTCCTTTGGATTGAAACGGGCAGTTTCCTGGTGAACTTTTTGTAGCTTAACTTCTTGAGTAGATCCTAAGAACCAGCCATGAAGGGAATCTTACTATTACATTATTCTGAGCTGTTGGATATGTGGTGCTCATAAAGTCGAGCTCTTATATGTGTTTGGAGAGGCTAGAATGTTGATTCTGCTAAAATCTTTCTCTGAATAGAAAATATTGTTGAACAAATCTAGATTGATTCTGCAGAGCAAGGCTATTAGTATCTATTAGCAGCATTATATAATTTATTGAACCTCTAGAGGGATAATAATTCAACTTAGCTTTCTTTCAGCAGATTACTGTAGATTAAAGATAAAATGGTGAAATCAGGATTTGAAAAGTTGAATCCTGACAGGTAGACTATTCTGCATTGTTGTTTTGCTTTTTTTGTGCCCACTAACAGTGTACCTACTGACCAACACTCCGCCGAGCATGTTAAAATGCAGCCGCTCTGTGGCTTTGAGAAGGCCAAACAAATAACTTATCAATATTGTGATCATAATTTTAAATATATGGTCACTTTGCAATTTGATCTCTGATGCCTTTATATTGTTTGGGTTGTGCAAGAGATGCAATTGACCTGAGAAGTACCATCTGCTCTATCTTGTTAAGTTGCTATGGTCACATTAAAAGGTCAAATTGGTTCAAAAGAAAATTAGACGTGTATCTAAAGTACTCATACTTTTGCATTTTTTATAAATGTATCTTTGGACTTTGATTGTGAAAGTAATTCTGATTTGATTTCTGTGCAGATATGCTATACGTTTTCTCAAATATTTCTAAAAATCTCAATTTTATCGAACATACTCAGATTGCTGGTTGGAAACTGTAAGTAATAAGTGAATTGTATTTCAATACTTTATTCCCCTTCCTTCTACTAAACCAACATTATGTACTGACGGCACATTGTATCTACTTTTAATTGTGTTTGCAGAAACCAAAGAGCAAAACCAATCATTGTTGATCCAGGCCTTTACCTGTCAAAGAAATCTGATATTGCGTGGACCACTCAACGGCGATCACTTCCTACGTCTTTCAAGTTGTTCACAGGTAAGTTTTTCTTATAATTATTTTTCATTTATTTATCAAGTGTGCCATTGTTAACAATTGGTGTATTGAAGTTACAAAATTCCTTTATGAACCTTGACCTTGAGGTTCAAAGAAAAGGGACGGGCTCTTAGTTCAGATAATGATAACACAGACAATGTTGACGAACTGCTGGCTGATAGGCCACAAGGGAGTTCTCATCCATGATATGGCCAAATTTTCTCTGCTAGTCCATGCTGCGGTTCAGCCTTGGGCTATTGGAGAACTTGTTTTTCATCACAAATTATTTTTATGTAGTAAGAAAAATTGATTTTCACTATGGTATAACAATTGTCAGATTGCATTAGATTTATAATCCTGCAAAATACATGAAGGGTATTGAATTAGGATACCTCTTTGTTTCTTTGGCTGAAATAATATTTCTTTAGGACCTCTTCTACTAAGCAGGCTTTAGAAGTTTTGTCTAAGGTGGAAAGGCTGATTTACAAGATCTTGTCGAAGAATTTTGCTATCTTGCTGGTTAAGGTTCTAAGGTGAATATATTGGAGAGAAATTGTCGCTTCATGCCTTTCTTGGGGTTGAAAGATTAATGTTAGGTGATAGCTGATGGAGTATCTAAATCTAATTTTTTTAGGAAGTGTTAATTTAAACAAGAATCAGTTTTCCTGATTTTCTGTTCTTATTAAGTAGGACTTAAATTTGCTTATTCAAGCAGATTTATATTTCCTACAACTGGCCACTGCTTACATAGGTTTTTTTCTTTCTTTCAGTTTTATCCAAAACTTTCATATTGAATATCATAGTGGAAATTGGATTTCTCCCTCTAATTCTTCTAGTTCATCCCATTGATTTTTCCTTCCCTTTCTCGCTTATTTTCTATCTTACTAGTTCTACATTCATGCTATACTTAGCTATGTAGCTTTAAGTTGCCTTCGACCAAAAAGTATTTATGTGAAAAGGAGGATTTCATCAACTTTTATAAAAACCTCTGTTTTGTTTTATTTTTGACTGCAGATGAAAATTTGAATCAGGTTAGCCTTGTGCATAACCAATTTCAAATACATTTTTGTTTCTTCTTGTATACAGGTTCAGCATGGGTAATGCTAACTCGGACATTTCTTGAGTACTGCATATGGGGATGGGATAACCTCCCTCGAACTCTTTTAATGTACTATACAAATTTTATCTCATCTCCAGAAGGGTATTTTCACACTGTTATCTGCAACACAGAAGAATTCCGCCACAATGCAATAGGTCATGATCTTCACTACATTGCGTGGGACACTCCTCCCAAGCAGCACCCTATCTCTTTATCAATGAAAGACTTTGACAAAATGGTTAAAAGCAAGGCTCCATTTGCTCGCAAATTTGCCAAAGATGATCCGGTCTTGGACAAAATTGATAAAGAACTTCTAGGCCGCACAAGCCGGTTTGCACCTGGAGCTTGGTGTATTGGGAGCTCATATGGTGGAGCTGACCCATGCTCTTTGCGTGGTAATGATACTGTATTTAGACCAGGCCCTGGTGCTGAGAGATTGCAAGAGCTGCTTCAGACATTGTTGTCTGAAGAATTTCGAAAAAAGCAGTGCTCATGATAAAAGGTGAGTTTTTCAGATTTTGATAACCGCAAGTGTAAATTGGTCATAGATCATACAGTTTATGTAAAACAGCCTGAATTGTACCTTAATATAAGAATTGAGCATTCAAGTTATAAACAATGTCAATATCTGTTTTCCGGCAAAGATTCTATGATTGTTTTGAGTCTGTGTACATTGTTTAAATATGACGAAATTATTTCCTGCGGCAAACATCCTCTGGGAGGTATTGTGTGTTTGGTTAAATTGGCAACCCATATTCTGTCAGACAAGTATCACAAAATATGTTGTGAAATACTCGCATCATATTTAATAGGTTCCAGTGGCATATTGTTGGAATTGTGATCAAAGTTTCAAACACTTGTTTGCTTAGTCTCTGTTAGCAGATATCAAATTCATGTATTTTTCAACAATCATTTCTGGTGAAAAATCAGTAAAATAGCCCTTCTCTACATCCAACCCTTCTTCAGCTGCGAGCATCTCAACCCGGCTTTGGACCCTATCAGCTCCAACCTGATTGGGCTCCAAGAGCATGCAAGCTATCTCGGTGGAATCCTCACCATGAACCAAGCCCAGCGTTTGCACCGTTGGCAGCCCACCTCCGCGGGCACTCACCATTCGAGCTATCCGACGAGCAGCGGAGACGTGAGTGGACATAATGGGTATGTTGTACAATGCAACCCATGGACGAGCTCCAATCATCGCTATACCTCTGGCCCGAGACACCTGGTTGGGGCCTTCATTGGGCCTTTCAGGGAGAGCTTCAGCCATTGTCCAACCTACCCATTGGTTGCCCATGAAGTTGGGCCTGTAGTAATTAAGCTCTCGCCTGATGGTGTCTAGGGCCTTGCCTGTTGGGTGTGCTGCAGCATACAAAAACACAGGCACTGCAACATCAATGGTGAAAGACAATGTTAATGATTTTTATACGTACATTTATTAACATTTATAAATTAGTGTTGCTAGAAATGACTACCTTGAAATCTACTGCCAATATCTGCTGCAACTGCTTTGGCAAGCCAAGCAGCTTCATCCAAAGATGCCCGAGCGAGTGGATGGAAAACAATGTCATCAACAACACCAAGTCGAGGGTGGGCACCAGAGTGCAACTCCAGGTTTATGGCTGCATAAGCAGCCTCAACCATGGCTAACACACACTGATGCAATGGGCTGTAAATGGCAGTACCTGTGCTATCATGAACAACGTAAGATACAAGGGTGTAACGGACCCTGTTGTATGCTCGATCCTCAAATTTGTTCACAATCACTGTTTCTGTATCACGCCTAGCGGTTTGTTCTATCGAGTCAAGAGCTGAGAGGTTGCGTGATTCAGAAATGTACAGCTTACAACACAATAGACTAGATTGGTTTGTAATCTTTTTGTGCTGAAATAAATGAGATGATATATAACATGAGGAATTGATTGAGTTGGATTAAAAAAAAAAAAAAAAAGTGGCTTTGACTTTCTAATAATAAAAAAGTAGAATTACGTTAGAACTATAGAAGCAATTGTGTTTTGGATTACTACAAAACTAAGTTTCAGAATGGTCTGGATGTGATCACATGTTCATCTCATGTCTAGTTTTTCAGAAGATGGTGGATAAGCTTTGACTATTTTATTAGTCAATACTCTTTTCCAGGCTAAGGAAATAATTTCAAAAGCTTAACAACAAGATTAACATGAAGCTCATAAATCTTATCATCAGAAATCAAATTTGTAAAAACAACATCGCAGAAGAATTGAAGCAGTGCAGATGGATGTCAAGGACCAATTTTTGCGAGACCAGTTAAAAAGAAAAAAAAAAAAAAAAGCTCCTTAGTTTATTAATCAGTTCATGTGAATTACAAATATCGTTCTCCCTTTAAGGATGAACAAAGCTTTGGAGGATGTCTTTTGAAAGAAAATCTTAGAAGATGAAATTGTGTCTAAACAGAGAGACGAAGAGATCAAAAGTCGATCCCTTTAAGGATGAACAAAGCTTTGGAGGATGTCCTTTGAAAGAAAATCTTGGAAGATGAAATTGTGTAAAACAGAGAGACGAAGAGATCAAAAGTCAAAACAAAAGCATGTTAAGAGGCAGAAAGTAATATGAGTGGAGACTGGGAAGCTCTTACCTTGGAATTGGGGCTAAAGTCCATGCCTTTAAACTCTGTTATGTATTGTTGCTGCGCCTTCGTTTAAAGCTGATTTATAAATCATCCATTGAAGCAATGACTAAGCTTCTGTGAGTCAGAAATGTACGATTAATGCCGATAAAAGCTTGTCCCCACAACTTCCCGTGTCAAGTTTTATAAATAAATAATAAGAACCGATTACTTGTTAGGTAAAACATAATCCATAAGGAGTAACAAAGTAGAACAATACAAATACAAAGGAGTATACAAAGATAATTATTACCCTTAATCTTGATGATTTCTCTCTCTCTCTCTCTTTTCATTATTTCTTTGATTTTTTCTCCTTGCTGATATCACTTTGTAGTCCTCTTTGTATTGTCTTTGTAAGGATAGTATTTTTCAACAAAGTATTTTACTTTGGGGGCGTTTGGTTGGGGGGTATTTGACATTACTAGGGATAAGTGATCTTATATTACTTTATTACCATGTTTGGTTATCAAGCAATATAAGATATCGGTAATCTTCAAATACCAATAGTGGTTATTATTGGTAATATTGGAAGTAATATAATTACCTCCATTTTCTTAGGTATTTTAAGATTATCAGAGTTATTTTCTTTTGTTACAATTTTATCTCTTATTAATAAAAGTTTTGAACAATAATGCCCTTATTTTAAAAGAAATTTACATTAATATCCTATTTCAATTTTACCCTTGTTTAATTAAAAATTTGGACAATAATGCTCTTATATTTAAAACAATTTACAGACCACCATTACCACCCAGTCACCACCGTCGATAGTGGGTCAACCACCACGGACTACCGTCGGAAAGTCGCCGAAGTCCCTAAAAAAGAATGAGATTCGGTGGGAGGCTCCGGGAGGCTTCGATATGACAGTTTCCGACCATATTGATGGCCGAAAATGGCCATATCAGGCTAGATCTAGCCGGAAATGACCATATCTATTCTAGCCATTTCCGGCCAGATCGATGGAAGTAGTCGTTAACGGCCAGATCAATGGAAGTGGCCGTTAACGGCCAGATTCCTAGTCATTACGGCCAGATCTGGACGAGATCTGGCCGCTAACAGCTAGGTCTGGCTTAGATTTGGCCTGATATGGCCGTTTTCGTCCATCAATATGGCAAAAAAGGGCCATATCGAAGCCTCTTGGTCACGACGAGCGACTGACGAGGACTTTCGACGGTGGTTTGCAGTCGCGGTAAGAGGTAGGGGTGATTTCGTAATAAATTAAAGTTTTATATAAACGGGGTGTTTTAACTAAATCTGAAATATTGGGAATTAAAAGAAATTATTCAAAAATTAATAATAAAAAAATATTATATTAATATTTGAAAATGGGACAATTTAGTAATTTAAATAACATACCCACCAATTTATTCTCCATAACCAAACATATTAATATAACATACCCACCAATTTATTCTCCATAACTAAACATATTAATATAACATACCCACCAACTAATCAAACACATTTTTCTAAAGATTTCCAGTAATCTTTTAAGGTAATCTATTTTTCTAATAATCCAACGTTCCCAGTAATCTAACATTCTTGAATCAAACGCCCTTTTTTTTCTTATAGTAATCATAAATGGCACTGATTAACTTGTTTATCAATTCAAGAAACCATGAATGAAGTCTCCGGATTTCTTCTCTCTTCTTTTTATGGGTATGTTGATTACTGAGTCAGTGACACCATGGTTTGACGAAGAAAAACCCACATAAATGAATTGTCATTAGCTAGGGGATTTGAGTGCTTTTTTCAAGTAATTACCAGGATAATCTTTTCCAGATTCATGGCTTGTCAAACTAAACTATAAAAAGCAAAAAGACTTGTGTTATACAAAAACTTAAATTATCTTCAGCATCAAGGCATTCTATGTTGCAGTTACTGGAAGATGATAGAATGTTGAAAAATATAGTGGCATAGCGCACCAATTATAACTCGTAGTGAAACATGTGTTGGTCATAGAGGTATTAGTACGGTTTTTGATAGACAACATGTGGGGTTTTGTGCAAAAAAATAATTAAGGCAATATTTTTGACTCAATTATAAAATAAATGAATGATGAAATAAATATAGATATAAGTTGAGGCCACCATTCAAAAGAGAATCACATTGGATAAGATCACATGTTAAAACCACATAAAAGAAGAACAAAACAGGGAAACAAATAAGACAAAGAAGTAGATGTTTCCGATACTTGTATGAGTGTGACTAACGAGGAAACTCCAACTACAAAAAAAAGAAAAAAAGAAAAAAAAAGATTATAATCAATTTCTTTCTTTTGCATATGAAAACAACTTTTCTTCTACCATCACTAGTTTAATTACTCTTCAATTATTGGCCAGAACAACAAATAGGTCACATCCATATTTGATTAATAATAATAATACCAATCAAACATTGGTAAAAGTCTGTTGGTAGGAAGAACATCAGACCTGAGCCTTGAATTTACAAACATATAAGAAATGGTCGTTGGCTTGGTGCTGACTATAAGCATAAATTAGAGATGAAACGAATACTAGAAGACATGATCTAGAAAACCATCTTTCATAAAATAGAATTTTAAAAATTTCTACAGTCGCAAAGCTCATAATTTAGATACATTTTCTCGCGTGGAGCTTGGTTTGAAACAATTATTATAATTGGTTTATTTAATATCCACATCATAGCCTTTAATAGATAATTGATATGCTCATGTTTCCGCGTCATCCCAGCACCGCCGAATTAAACAATTCTGCTACAAATCGATTTATCAAATGAATTCACACTCAATATTGGACGAACTCAAGAGTTTACAGTTGTTTGGCAATCCATATTCAGAGTTTTACAGTAGTTTTTATTTTTAGTTATAGCTTTACATGAGAGATGTTAGATATGATGTTTTTAATCTTCAAGGCTATAGCTGGATTTTTTTTAACTGTATTTACTTCCTATGATAATTGATTTTAGCGATTGTTCTTGTAATTGTCTCTTGATTTTGAAAAAAAAATCACCTTTCATGCCTCTTTAATATTCGGGATTCGATTAAAACAAGAACAATTGCAATCAGTATGCTGGCCGACTAGTATAGCCTTAAAAAAGTTCGTATCTGCTTGTTTTGGTGTCAGTCGGGACGGCCCTCATTTATTCTCTTGATAAGCAAGAGGATTATTCCCTATCTCCGCAAGCTGCCTGTTTATCATATTTGCTCCACAATTATTATTTAGTTTTTTTTTTTTTTTTTAAGTATTAAACTGGTAGCCTCTTTTGCAGGCATATATACTTCTAATCTTCTGGTGTAGAGGACACAACCCTCATTTCTGGCCCTCAGAATACTGCTAAGGCTCTTGCATAAGAAAATAGGAGCTGAGTTATCTTTAATTCAAGTATAGCTATTTTCGAATGTAATGCTATGTTTGAACATATGCTAAAATCTACCATTAGGGAAAAAGAAATCTTTAGAGACAAGAAAAATTGACCTTTCATTATAAAATTTCACCCTCAAATGTTACACATGGAGCAATTTGTTTCATGTATATATATATTACATAGATGAAGTCAGTTCCATATAACTTTCAATTATTTTCTCTTGTGGAAGATCAGTAAAATATCCCTTCCCCACAGCCATACCCTCTTCTCCTGCAAGCCTCTCAACTTCTAGCTGAACTTTGTCTCCTCCTACTTTACTTGGTTCCAACAAATTACAAGCTACCTCAATGACGTCTTCACCATGTGCCAGTGCCATGGCTTGTACTGAAGGAAGTCCACCTCCTTTACCACTTACTCGTTTTGCTATTGTACGAACAGCACCAACATTTGTAGAGAACACAGGGACGTTGTAGTTATCAACCCACCTGGTTGCTCCAATTACGATTACACCTTTTGTTTGACTCACTTCAAGTGGACCCTCATCTGGTTTCAGAGGCAAGGACTCTGATATTGATCCTCCAACCCATTGGTTTCCAACTGAATTAGGCTTGAAAAAACCCAGTTCTCTTCTGATTGAATCAAGTGTCTTACCTTCTTCATGTGCAGCTCCATACAAAAAGGTAGGGACTGCAGGCTGATAAGAAATATTAGCAACACACAAGGGAAAGTTTTTGGAGGTAAAACTTAAAATATATGTACAGAGACAATATTCATACTCATTATACTCTATAAAACATATTCTTATACCCCAGTTCTTTCTACAATAAAGTCTTATGAAATACAAATTTGGTAGTAATACAACTGAGACGCCATATTTTTCTTATTGTTCGATAAAAGTAGTTCATTCAAAAGTCTACTTTATTTTGAACAAGAAATAAAGATC